GGGTTTAGGGTGTAGGGGTTTCGGGTTCAGGGGTTTAGGGCTTAGGGTTTAGGGGTTTAGGGGTTTAGGGGTTTAGGGGTTTAGGGGTTTAGGGGTTTAGGGGTTTAGGGTTTAGGGCGCATTCAAGACAGGCCGCAGTGCTGGCGCACCATTGACGAAGTCCTGCGAAGTGGCATCCTGCAGCCAAGGTAGGCCATCGGACTGGATGAAACTCTCCGTCCATGGACCAAGGTATGTTACCTTCTGTATACTACTGCGTATATGTACCCCTTGATGCAATGCAGTGCAGCAAAGCAGCAATGAAGCAGTCTAGCAGGCTAGATTTTATGCTTACGCAGCAAGTCATTCGATTAAAGTCGGCCCAGATCCCGCACCGAGTCCAAACAGCCTGTACGGATAGGGTGCAGCGTTTGTTGAGCAGCTCTTTCCTCGAACCTTGTCCACGGAAGCCCTCTAGGGATAGGTACGGAATCCTAGTTCTCGGCTGGAAGTATGCCGCAAACATACACAGCCCTGCAATGCAGCTCAGGCTTAAGGCTATAAGTTTGGGGGTCTGAATAAGAATAAGGTTTTGGGGCCCATTATGCTGCAACTATAAGAAGCAACGTACAACATAGTATTGGAAATTCTTAAGGCCCCTTTAGTAGGGTTGGGGATTTCAGGGCATAGGCTATTGGGCCCAGAAGGCCGTACGAACACACAAACAAAAGCAAACCGCACCGCATCAGATCTTAAAGCGGTCGATGTATATATATATATATATATGACAGAGAGAGAGAGAGACAGAGAGAAAGCGAAGAGAGATATAGAGTACACGCTTCGACATCGCAGCGCGGAAAAAGGCACCCGATCAGGCCGGTGTACATATTCTGTATACTATAAAGAATATGTACTCCGGCCCTGATATAGGTTCATGAGCCCCTTGCTGTTATGAAGATTCCCCGCCTGCGCGAAGAAGGCGCAAAGTGCCATGAGGCCTAGCCTCTGGTTTCGGGCACTTCATGAGGTTCAGGGGGCAAGTCCGGAGTGCTTCTAGAGCTGAGCTGAAGAGCTAAACTCTAATCCCTAGGCCCTAGCCATAGCAGTAGTTCTTTTTTCGGATTACCTAAACATGAACCCCAGAAAGGAACTACTATGGGGCCTATGGGTAAACTCGAATCCCTAAGACCTAAACCCTATAAGCCCTAAACCCTAAACTCTAAAGCCAGAGCTTTTGAATCGCGAACTTGCTGTGCGGTTTAGGGCTTGGCAGTTTGTGTTAAGCGTAGTTCGGTTGAGGTTTAGGGTTTGCGGTTTAGGGTTTAGGGTTTGGGCGAATAGGGTTTTGGGGCCCATTATCC